AACTAAACTTATATATATTATGTCCGATAGATTAGTACTTTAATGGTCGTAACAATTGTTCAACGTTTTTTTATTGATTGAGATCATAAACCGATTGATGTTTCACCACCATTGAAACCTGGAAACATTGGACGGCCATTTCGTCCTATTGTGGGACTCATCAGCAGTGTGCATTCACGATACCGCCCGCGGGATCTGAACTCAGGACATTCGGTCTCGCGCACGAACACAACCTACTAGACCACTAAGTGGGCATCCAACGGTGTTAATGTCTAACTTCAACCAATCCACGAAATTGCGCAACCATCTTCCATTGTACTGAGAGGATACCTGTTACTACGTGACAGGGCTTAGCTCCACTAGTCACGGCTTCTCATTAGAACTCCGAGAATTCCCTCACGAAGCTAGTCACTAGTGAGCAAATGGTAATTATCAGTATAGGGTTGTGGAGATTATCAAGTTATTGATTGAGATCATGAACCTGATACAGTGTATACTATAAATAACAGATTATAGATAGGTGACATTCATGCATTATAAAATTTTATGAACTTCCTAAGGAGAACAGATCATCATAAACTTTGATAACCGTAATCAATTGTTATTTTAATTTTACAGATTGTAAAATGATTGTCGCAGCCCACAATATGATAGAACTAATTGCAACAGATTATAAAATAGAAGTATCATTAAGTGAAGTTGAAAATATTTTGAAGATTATCATTGTATTATGGTGATTATGGTTGGGTTAAGGAGAAGTGATTAGTTTGTGCGGTTAGAATTACAGCTTCAGTAAATGAAGTCAATTGAAGAAGATGTACAATAGTGTTAAGATATGATTTATGCAAAAATTAATATTAATTATTGATAAATGAACTATGGAATTGAAAAACGCCCGATAAATGTTTAAATGTAAAGTACCTGAACTTCTTCAAAATGAACAACATCTGAAGTCAATCGATGTGAACGTCAGGTGTTTATATTGTGATGACTCAATGAAATTAAAGTGGATGGATGGAACATGTCAATTAATCAAATGAAAAATGGAACCTGGAAGGCGTGTATTTCGGTTTAAGTTGTCATAGCCCATAAGTGCAAAGAGATGAAAGTTTTAGAACGAATCCCAAGGTAATAGAGGTAGTAAGAGTATTAAAGGTAACAGATAAATATAAGCAACGAAGTTATGATTGGATG